ATAGACGATTCGTTCTTCTTAATTCGAGTTTTAAACGAATAAAACACTTTCTCGATTATCAATACAAGTAGTGCCAGGATCATACTGCCAACCATTATCATCAAAATCGGCGTTACAACGTTTATATTAATTATACTGTCTCTCATCATCTTATTGGAAGGATTTTTTGCGAGATACTTGTTCAACAACCTTCTTATAACGCCATTATAATGCAATCGGCGCAAGCTGAAAAATACGAAAATATTAAAATATTCACTCGCGAAAAGGAAGAAGCAATCATAAGAGATTTGATCTGTATTTTTTGTAAGTATACATAAATATGTAAATAAATAAACGTGCTTATAGAACTTACTGATAATTTATAAAGCCAGTGTAAGGATTTTCTTTTGATAGCATTAACCCTATATGTTGGATTCTTTCGGTATTAATGTATACAAGCTTACAGTGTATATACATGTTCCAGACATCTTTTAAAATCTCCGGCGTGTACAATGCCAAGTTCTTCCGCTGGCAGATCTGCGTAAAAATTGACGTGAATTGACTTACTGAAAAAAACGTCATTGATGTCATTAATTAGATAATATCGCTAACTTGATTAAATGCCTCTGGAAATGTTGCTGGTAAAAATTTCTTCTCTTCCAACAATTCGTACATTTTCCGAAATACTGGGTCTTTGACACGCTGCAAAATTCGAGAAAACATAATTTGAATAAAGAAATGCTGTTTTTCTTTCAATTATGTACCTAGTCGGAATAGAATGACAAACTCTCGCTAATATTACTCATTATGAGAAACTAAAAAATTTAAGAATAAGAATTTAATAATTAATACATATATTCTCTGCAAATATAAAATTAAATTCTCTAATATTTAAAATGATCAAAATTTTAAAAATTTATTGAATTACTAAAACTTTATGTGCAACATTATATCGTGTAATGTTAAAACTTTCAAAATGTTCTCGACTACATTTACAAGATTACGCGTTTTTATTCGCGTGCGCTTCTAATAAAATTACTGCAATGAAACTGACATGTCGCTGTTACGCAAAGTAATTTCTAAAATTTAAATAATAACAGACTCACACTAGGATTCTCGATGTCGGCGCTGTTTTGTACAATGATTAATTTGTAAGTTCCATCATTAACGTAATCCTCCAGAGTAGAAAAAGGCAGTTTGGGGGAATCGAGCGTCAGAAAGCTGACCAACGAAGCGGAATAGATGGCCAGAATTACTATCGACGAGATGTAAATCGAGATAAAAGCCAGCCTCACCGGTGACTCTCTAGGAAATTCTGATCGCGTGAAAAAAAATAATATTATAATATGTTCTATTCTGGAGCTAAATATACATATTA